GCCGGTGCTGTGCTCTCTGGTTCCTTGGGCTGATCTTTCTTCTTCTTTGGCTTCACTGGTTCTGCTAGCTTCTCAGGGTCTGCCGGTGGTGTGCTCGTGGATGTTTTGGGCTGGTCTTTCTTCTTTGGCTTCTCAGGGTCTGGTCGGGGTGTGCTCTCGGATGTCTTGGCTAGCTGGCCTTTCTTCTGTGGCTCCTCAACATGTGCCGGGGGTGTGCTCTCTGGTGACTCTGGTGCCTTTGGCGGTTCTCTCTTCTTCTTTGGCTTCTGTTCTGGGTCAGCTGATGGTGTGGCTGCTTTTCTTGACGCTTCCTTCTGTAAGGTTTCCGACAACCTTTTCATATCATCCTTAGCCACTTGTTCCTCCAGCGATCTAAGATATCTCTCCCTTTTTTTCACCTCTTCAGTGACTAGCGTCTGTGATTTCAACTTGGGATCGTAGATCAGCTCCGCCTCCCCAGCCTCCAGATGAACAGGGTTGAATCTTGAAGTTGATAGGTTGTGGTTTCGGGCCTGGCCTTACTAGTCTTTGACTTTGTCATGGCAAACACCACGTGCAAAATGCGATGGGCTTGTTCGAGCCACGATCTCTAAGTTCCACAACGGTTTGTCAGAATCAAAAAATGAGTGGAATTCTGACACGCAATGACACGCGCAGGAGGGTTTTGAAAACCACCCGACACGCACTAAGTGAGTGGATAATAGGCACCCCTCTTGCTTAAGTGAGTGGTTAATCGGCACCCCCCTGAACATGACCGACACGCCAATGACACGCATTGACACGCACCCCAAGTCAGTTTTTTCAAAAATAATTGCTTCTCCAGAAGGGATCCATGAAACACTATGACACCTACGTACGTGGCACGTTCCTGGAAAACCAGTTCCATGGCGTGCAGGTTGGACATCTTAATACATCTTTGCTGTGAAGGCAGAGAAGAGGCAATGAGGAGGGTGGCAGGTCATGTTGATGGGAGGGCACCGGTTTCAGTACTTTTCCCCCACTGCAAGTATGATACGCATTGCACAACGTGTGTTGATGTGCAGCTCAATTATAATGTCAAATCTTCTAATCTAGCTCCGTGGTGTCACCCAGAGCATCAAAGTCATCGTAGGAAAGTTCATCGCAGTCGCAATCTTTGCAAATCTGCAGGAGGTTCTTGACATCCTGCCTTGGATCCAGGCATCAACATTTAATTTGTTGGGAAGCAGTAGTTAGTTTCATTAGCATGCTGGTTTGGGGGCATCTAACACCTCTTGTAGTAACCAAACAATATCCAAGTTGCGGTTCTAGGTAGTCAACTAGAACCAGGCACCAGCAGCTTAAGCACACACGGTCTGCAGCCATTAGAGTGAGTGCCTCCTGTAAAGCTTCTTTGCTAGTAAGATTGGTAGGATCCATGGCTGACTCAGGTTCTTCAAATCTGGCTAAGACTAGAGCTGGTGCAGCTTCGGGTTTTTTCATCGTACCAAGCCAACCTGTCAGCAATACGAAACAAACAGTCAAAAGGAGTTCCAAAAAGAAGGGCTAGGGTTCCCAAAAGCACTGATTCTTTTGGGGTCTCATAGTCTAATGCCATTCCTTTGGAACGCCTGCAGCCCGTGGCTTTCAAAGGTTAAATTCGCATACCTTTCTTTTGTAGCCCCCCAATGATTTTCAGCTACGATCTCCACTGGTGGGTGCGCTAACTCTCAAGCTGTATCAAACCAAAAGCTCGTGCATGCACAACATACTTTATAGCTATCATATGTTTTAGAGCTTGCGCCACCAGCATCTAGTGCGACCTTTCACAAGGTCATCCAAAGCTCCCCAGCGTTCTTCACTCTGGGGATAGTATGGAAAGTCTTTAATTTCAACCTCAGGTCTGTCTTGACGGGGTGGCACCAAGCCCGCCAGCGCCAGGCCAAACTGGTACGGATACACCGCACTCCTCGCCAAGGCCTTTTTGTTGCCGGCCTTGGATGCAAAAATGCGAGCGAGTCAGCCCCCGAGAACCAACCCCCTAGAGCAGGCTTCATGGTGGCCGGTTGAACCCTCGTGGCATGGAAACCCGGCCACAACAAATGAATGAGTTCCCTTCACAATGACGGAAAGACTGGAGCAAGGTGGGCATGGAACCCTTGAGCAAATGGCCACTAGGACAAGGGTGGAAAGATGTGGTCTATCATTGAAGTGGGCCCTGTTGGATAGCTATCCTGATATCATGCTTAGATTTGGAGACAGGTGGACCACCTGGATATGTATTGGAGCCCAGGGCTGAAGGGCTACTGCCCCACCTTTGGCAATACCAGCCAGGACCTCGAAGCTGGGTAGACCTCCCACCCGTGGAAACATAGCAGCGAGCGAATCGATATTGATGCATGACGCAACTCTACGCTTGCCAGACCCATCCACCGACTTCTTGACCAGCTCGGAAGGCGCGTTCCTCAGTTGAATCAGTTGAACCAACAGCAACTAACCTGTGTGCACCATTGATCGATGCACATGCTGTCCAGGAGAGGTTGAAAGGACTTAAAAACGAAAGGTGTCACAAGGATCCTTGTGACACCTTTCGTTTTTAAGTCCTTTCAACCTCTCCTGGTTGGTTCAATCGAGGGTCTTTGCCAGCGCCAGTCGAAGTTGTTTTATATTCAGAGGGCGTCGAAGTTGGTGCAGAAGAGGTAGTGTACCAAAGACCCTGGTCAATCAACATGTTGAAATCATAGGGCCCATGTTTCTATCACACGTAGCAGGTTCACCCAAAAAGAACCTATACGCACAGCCTCTGAGACTCCAACGTTGTCATTTTTAGTGTTTCTGCGCCCCACGAACCCATACTGAAGCATACTCGCCTTCCAAGATTTGCAAGGAATAAAACTTGACCGCATATCAAACACAGTACTTGTTGCCGCGAACCAGAACCTTGCGTTGGTGAACGTGAGAAAGGTTTTGACAGGGTCAAAGAAATAGAGCACCTGCAGCATCAAAGATGGGTCCCATATACGCACGCTATGCTTTGTGAAGTTGAGACTTTGCCCCCAATGCTTGCAAGAGGCTGATGTCATAGGCTGCTCTATGACAAAGTAAACCCCACGCTGATGAGCGTAGTACAGTCTCAGTTCTATCCAAAAAGGTGAGTTTGTTAGCTAGCTACTATTGTTGGCGATCCAAGCCACACATAGCAAAGGCGAATGACAAAGACATTCGCAAGGTACACCGCCTTCGATTGATTGCCAGCCGGATTCAGCCAACTTCGCTCCGTCGTAGGCGAGCTCCTCAACAGAGATAATGGGTTTGGTCATGACAGGGGCCCCTTCCAGCTTTATCTTTGACCAGGGGGTGCACTTGATGTTTCCTATGAAGCAGCTGATGGTTAATGATGGGAGCAGTGACCATAAAATCCTTTAGTAGCTGCGCCAAGTGTTCCAACAATGGAGCCCCGGGATGTGAATGCTACAGGCAGTGTCCATGCACCTGCCAACTCATAAGTTGGCCAAGGGTCAGAAATATCCATGAAGAGCAGGGTGGCGCAGCAATCACCACACCACCCTTTCGAGTGTTTCGAACCTGTGGCACACTCCCCAATTCCAATAACCTACTGGCACGATGTGTAACAAATCTAGATGGCACACTCACCAATGATGCTTTCCAGGGTCTGTCGGAATGTGAGCCAAGCAGCAGCAGCCAAAATGGCAAGCATCCCCACGGTCCGCATAAGATTGTGATTTGAAGAATACCGTATCTAGGCAATGAGCAACAATCCCAAGTTCTTGGAATGGAACTTTGGTCTTTAGACTTTATCAGCTTATCAGGTCGCTTGTTTGGGGAGTTGAGCAGGTCTCTACAGGTCTTTCAACACATTTGCTTTCGTCGGACCAAACAATCCAAGAGGCATCAAAGGATTTGCCCTGCATTCCGCAATTCCGGAAGGCTTTGGATAGGTTTCCCTCTCCGCTGCAGATTTCCACCTAGGCCAGCTTCAATGCCAGGCAACCCTGGATCCCCTAAAACAGCACTAGGCCATTCTGAAAAAGGATCAAGATCTAATTGCGCCAATTAGCAAAATCATTGGCTTCGCTCTGAGGAGGGACAGGCACTCGAACAAGCCAGGCCAAAAGTATGGCCAAAAGCTTCGGATCCATCTTCTCTAGATATCAGGTGTCCTGACTCCTGACCCCTTTATGTGTTCCTTGGGCCTAGTACCAGCACCATGCGATGCAGGTTGAAGCCAAAGAAACAAAGCTGGACATCAAGCATCTTGCAATCAGGCTGCAACTGTTGGCGCAAGTTGGACGGGAAGCCCTTAGTCACAAGGCCTTTTACCCATGTTGTCATGTGCTGATTAATCCCTGTGGCGAATACCACAGCAAATTGTTTTGACCTTCAGGTGAGGCCATGCAC